TAATAATACGTGTCAAGGTGGGGTCAAGGTGGTGTCAAGGGGTCAAGGGGTCAAGATGTCATGGGGTCAGTACTGTAGGTCTTCAGTGCATTGTGGGTAATACAGACGGTGCCAATATGATGACATAGGAATACGTTATATCCACTTTGTTATTGTTAAGTGTGGTGAAAAGCCTTCCTTGAGCTGTCCTTGTGGTGGTATGTTGAGCTGTTTATCACACACACACACAAGGAGAAGCCATTAAATATCCTACTTACAGCGGAGAAAAAATATCTATAACATATTTGCCGAGAAGTCTTTCTGTCTGTCCATCCATCCGTCCGCTAGACTGTCTGATACGTGTCTGTCAATCTACCCGCCTGTCAGTCCGTCTAATGTACCTTTTCGTGTTATTTTTCTTAGAGTTTCGTTCATATAAATAATCATATGATAAGATTGAAGCCACGTCAGTGAGATTTTATCAGAAGAGTCAGTCAGTCAGTCAGTTAATCGGTCAGTCAGTACAGGTATCCATAAAGTTAGCGTACATAGAACAAAACAGCACCTGTCTCACTTTGTTGACAGAATAAACGTATAATAATTACAGTAGTTTATCCTGTATTTCTCTGTCATAGAAAATGGATAAAAAAAACCCTGAGAAAATACGATAGATGTATAATGTTGAAAAAACTACCACGAACTACTTAAATTATTTATTTTTCAGATAATATGAACCAAACCCCAATTATATAAATGTAACCTAATAATTGAGTATTTATCATAATATATTAATCGTGAGAAATATTAAATTAAAATAAAGTTTAAATGAAAGACTTATAATTTCAATAATATTTTTTAGCCTAGTGATATTTTTAACTTGGTAATATTTCACCTAAAAACGGTAATAACCCAAATACAGAAATAAATATTCCTCCTTAAACGACATTTCAGTAAATATAACGTCATTGTGTTAATACTATTGCCATTTTAATAATATTTTAAAGGACTATCTATATCTTAACAATATCCTGGACATCACCAAGACGGACGAGTCATCTTTCTCAACAAACTGGCTGGCTTGTGTGAGAGGGTGAAGAGGAGGAGGAGAAGAAGAAGGAAGAGGAACAGAAGAAGAAGGAAGAGGAACAGAAGAAGAAGGTAGTGAGGGGGAAGGATGATGATTATGATGTTGATGAGGAGGCGAAGGAGAAGGGGGAGAGGAGGAGGTGAGGAAGAAGGGAACACAGCCATTGTTTACATTTCGAGCTGAGGTGTGAGGCTGTGAGCTCCATCTGCTCATTAGTATTCATTCTTCCTAAGTGTAAAAAATCATACAAAAAATGCGAGAAAATCCTGATAATTCGTAAAGGATTATTGGTTCGTGTTAGCTTTTGATAATTCGTAAGACAATATAAGAAAATATTGATGATAACTAAATAAAACGTTGAAAATAATTGATAAGTTTTAAGACAAATAATTATATTAAAACCGAACATCAGGCGCTGGTGATCGCTTGTGCTGGCGCTATTATTTTTCCTCCTTAAGGTTGAAGGAATTTAACATTACATACAGATAGTTACAACAGTGCAGTGACCCGTGGGAGGGATAACTCAGTGTTACCACATCAGGTGTTATAAAAAAACTCGTTTCCACAACCACCCGAGTGTGACCCCACCTGTGTATGTAACGCTAACCTAACCTAACCTACCCTAACCTAACCAAACCTAACCTAACCTAACCTTACCTTACCCTACCCTAACCTACTGTATACCCTACCCTATCCTACCCAAACCTAACCTAACCTACGCTACCATAACCTACCCTACCCCAACCTAACCTTATCAAAATTATCTAATAGTTTTCCTCTGTTAAACCAAAAATAATTGAAAGTAACAGGAAAGTGACGGGAAAGTAACAGGAAAGTAAGAGGAAAGTGACGGGAAAGTACAAAGACGACACTCACACATTGTTATCATATCCTCACCTCACACACACACACACACACACACACACACACACATAGACACACACACACACACACACACACACACACTACATGAAGGGAATATCAAAGACATCCATTAATTCACCCAATGTTTGATTTCAGTTCACTATTGAATATTAAACTGAACTAACCCCCACCCCACCCCCTCACCCCCACCCCAGAGTGACAAGAATTTCATTGTTATTTAATATAAGAAATAAATAATGTACAATCGTTCCCCCCCCAGAAACAAAAGTATCTGTACCATTTCGTGAGTGAGACAATATAACACAAGGGACGAAGGATTTTGACAACCCTACCGAGACAACAGGAGTTACAGTGTTCATTCCGTAATTCATCGATCACCCCGAGTACAGATAGTTTTTTGAGGGTGAGGGTTTACAGGGTGATTGAAAATGAATGTTTATATATTGAAATCATGGTGTTGTTTGTGGATGACTCTGTAGATTTAGAACTGAAGGGAGTTTACTGGTTCGTTGGATAAGATTCGTGTGAGCATAACGAGTGACCTGGTTCATATTATCAGACCTTCTTTGGCTGTAGGGTTGTGTGTTGAGTACCAGGCAGTGTTGGAAGGGTAAGTGACCTCAGTAATATAGATTCAAACTGAACTTGACCTTACCTTACCTACCCTAACCTAACTTGACCTTACTTAATCTAACCTAACTTAACTTGAACTTACTTAACCAAACCTAACTTAACTTGAACTTACTTAACCTAACCTAACTTAATTTGGCCTTACTTAACCTAACCTAGCTTAACTTGAACTTACTTAACCTAACCTAACCTAACCATGAAAAGTGTGGCCATTGAACCCGTCCTTAACCAAACAATATCCAAAATCTCTTAAAACTACAAATAATTCACCTTTTTCATATATTTTCGTCTCTATAACGTGAACGAAATCTTCAGTCCTTCACCAACATTTCATAACTTTAACGAGACACTGAACAGCCATTTAGAGGTCATTACTTCCCTCTACCTTCTCATTATCATTCAAGGGGTAAAACATTGAACAAATATTATCCCCATGTTCACCTCACTACCGGGATCATCACCTCGGATCAAAGGTCATATCCTTAAGTTGTACCATGGTGACCACCCCCCCCAAAAAATCCTATACCCTGCCAGTTGAACCCTACCCTCAAACCCTACCTTCCCCACCCATCCCTACCCTGTCAGCTACCCCCCCCCCCTCACGCCCCGACCTTGTCACCTAGTCATGAATGTCTTGTACCTCTTGTGTATGCGTTCTAGAGACGTTCGAGTAATAAATCCGGATTTTTATAATGTAAATTTAATATTCCTGCTTATGGAGATTTCATGTAAGATAAAATAGCCGACAAATCGTTATTTTTAATCGGATTGTGCCCATTATCGATTTCTACCCAGTTCTTATCGGCACCAACGCCCCGCCCGAGTTACAATGAAATCGGTAAATCGGTTCTTGAGTTATTACGGTCACTATGAAGGATAAGCCACGGACACCGATACCACGACGCCCCATGACTCCCACGGACTCCCACGGACGCCCACGGACGCCCACGCTACTATAACACCCCACAGTGTATCGTGTATTTGTCCAGGCTTAGGTTAGGTTAGGGGACTGAAACCCACTTAAATTGGGAATTATTAAACTAACAATTCTCTAATATGGGACGTAAGAGGATTGAAATCTATCTTAACTAGGTCCTATTAGCCTATTACTATTGAAGCCTATATAGATTAGGGTTATTAGGACTGGGGCCCATTTGACCTTTGACCTCTGTAGTACGTTGACCTTACGTGACCCCTAAGAGCCGAGGGAATGAAGAGGACATCTGCAGGTCATCAGTGGTGTGTTGGTACCTTGTGGATGGTGGTGGTGATGGTAGTTGTGATGGTGGTAGTTGTGGTGGTAGTGATGATGGTGATAGTGATGATAATGAGGGTATAGTGGTAGTGGTGATAGTGTTGATAGTGATGTTTAGAAAGTATCACACACACACACACACACACACACACACACACACACACATACACACCTTAACCTTCAGTCCTAATTAACACCTGTAGCCTGTGGTCACACCTGAAGCTACTGCGGCAGGTGTGACCATAGACAAACACTGTTACCAAGGCGATAAGTGGACCTCTTGTGATGTAACTCTGAGGTGGTAAAACATTCTATAGTGGCGTTACCTTTGTTGATGAATGAATAAATGAATAAACTGGTGAATAATGTGGGTTTTAATGTCAGAGTCTAAAATGAGCCATCTTACACCCACCCCTTAACCACCCCCACCCACCCCCACCCACCCCTACCCACCCATGACGTAAACATCAAAGGTTCTTCCTCCTCTCCTTTGGGAACGCCTCACCCGCCGCCCCTCGTCTTTACTCTGAACTGAGGGTTTTACTGGGGAAGGTCTTAAGGGGGGAAGATAAGGGGGGGTCTTGGGATGCGGGAGGAAGAGGAGGGATAAGGGGGGTAAGGGGTGGTAAGGGGGAGGTGGATTAAGGGTCTTTCAATTGGGGGTCATACACCTTATTTATACTAGAGTCTCGCGAAGGGGTAAGGAAAGGTGTGTGTGTGTGTGTGTGTGTGTGTGTGTGTGTGTGTGTGTGCTTTTGTGTTATAAGTTGGCTCTAGTCTTACTAATACTTAACCTAACCTAACCAAACCTAACCTAACCAAACCAAATCTAACCAAACCAAATCTAACGTAACCAAACCTAACCTAACCTAACCTAACCAAACCTAACCTAACCCTCCTAACAATAAAATCCAGGTGTGACAGATACGTCTTTTCTTTCCTCAGGTGTTCTGTTGTTAATTAAGGCCTCAGAAGGTGTCGTACCTGCTCAAGTTAAAAGTATTCGTATATATTATTATTTAAGATAAGTATTCTATGTATTGTCTATAAGTAAGATCTATATACATAATGTATATGAATATGGTATTGTAGTAATGTATATATGTGTGTATATATTACTTGTAACTAATTTTTTTTCCATTTATTGTCTTTCAGTATAAAGTGAAAAAAAGTTATTTAAATCATGAAACAGGAAAATACTTTGAAAAAATAATATAACTTATTGACAAAGTGAATACATGACTTGACTGTAATCAAGAAATATCAAAATACTCAAAAAAGTTATGTATTACTGCATTTCAAGTTGTCAGTGTAAAGAGTGACGGAGAATACAGTCATACAGTGAATTATATAGTTAATATTACCGTATTTCATGATGTAGAGTTCATGAAGTGACCGTATTCCTGAAATAGTGAATTACCTGAAATAAAATCAATACTGTATATCATAATAACTCCTAAAAACGTTATAATGTTCCTGAAAAAATGAATCACTGAAAGAAAAAAAAGTGTGACTCAGAACAAATAAACTAAAGGTAACTAAGATCGAAAAACAATGAAATAAAAGTAAAAAAAAACCTAAAGGAACTGTACGTGTTGATCATGGAGGGGAGTGTATGGGAGGACTTTATCGTTATGGACAAAGAAAACTTCAACTCCGAGAACAGGAAAGTCCATTTTATTAAGTGTCAGTCCAAGAAGGAAGAAACCTACGAGAAAATCCCACAAGTCCTTCAAGAACAGGAGCATAAACCCCAAGAAAAACTCCACACGTATCAAGATGATGAGTTGAATTTTCCAGAGAAACTGAATTTGATCGAGGAAGATTTTGAAAGTCTTAAAATAATAAGTGAAGATCCTCCTGTTATCCAGAAGACAACAGGAACGGTCCAGGAAATCGTAGAGAGAGTTCAGATAATCCAGGAGAGCTCTGAGAGGGTAAGATATACCGTGGAAACAGAGGAGGTCGTAAGACTTGACCCTGAGGAACCCTGCGCTGCCGCCTCCAGTCAGAGCTTCTGTGAGAGGTGCGAGAAAGGTCCGGCCTGTTGTATGTACCTGGATGATCACGACTCAGGTGATAAACAGATTGATTCGAGCTCACTTGATGCCACAACCACTGCTGATGCTGTTGAGGGTGGTGGCGATGAACCGGATGAGGAAAATGATGATAGTGATGAGGCGAGTGTCATTAGTTTTTATTTAGGGCAAGGGAGTGGTGATGACAGTACGGTGGTGGAGTATGAGTTTTTCCTGGACGAAGATGAACATGATGGCGTTAATGATGATGATACTGACCTTAGATACAGTGGTGAGGAGGATGACCTTGAGGAGGAGTATCTGTTCGACGACGAGGAGGAATATTGTGTTGATGATGACGATGAAGAAGGGGAATACTGTGTGGACGACGAGGAGGAAAAGCTATCACGCCCCCGACGATCCTGTAGACGTGACAGCTTCTCCCGCTACCAAGAACCCCTCGAGGTCATCCTTGAGATTTTAGGTGAAGAAGGTGACGACGAGGTCAAGGAACAAGACAACCACGACGATGAAACAGAAAACGGATGCCATGTTAACCACGCGAGCTCAGAGGACCCCAACAGATGCGACGTGAACCAGCTAAACGTAGAGGGAGATCTCATGACTTTCTGTAGTGGTGAATACACTCCTGACGGTGAATACACTCCTGACGGTACAGGTGTTGGCTGTTCTCAGGAAGTTAAAGACATCATCGAGGAGAAACCTTACCACATATCCGCCTCTGATCACCGCGTCTCGGGCCAGACTGCAATGCAAGAATCTACGACGTTTGGACACAGCGCAGCGTGGAAGAGAGAGACGAAGGGTTATTTATGTGGAGTGACACAAGAGGTCGGCGGATCAAAGGTATCGACTGATAGCCTTCAAGGGCGGAATGTCGTGAATGTGAGAGATGACATATCGACCGTGCGAGATAACGCCTCTTCAGTGCTAGATAAAGCTTCTTGTGTGCGAGGTAACACGTATTCAGCACGAGATAAGGTTTCATTCATACGAAAAAATATATCTCCAGTGCGAAGGAATGACTTGTGCTTATCAGCTCCCACCTCCAAGGACGAGGAGTCGGACAGGGATAAGTTGAGGAGCCTCACCTCAGAGATCGAGGCCTACCTGAAGGAGACGACGATGCTGCTGGAGAGTGCCACAAGCTATACCTCGAAGGCGGCACCCAGAGGCACTAAGACCCAAGAACAGGAACCTAGGGACGATACGGACAAAAAAATGATAAACAAAACGACACCAACTACAACACAGGCTACAGACTCTAAAACAAATGAATCACGTTATACAACACTTGAACTTCCTGCTGTGACACCGAGTAACACAAGTAACTCAGGGAACTCTTCGTCAACAAGCTCGCTTAACATTATAGAACCTTTGATAAACATGCAGGAAGAACTTTCTCTCTTCTCATCAGTAACTCGAAACCCACAAGCAGAGAAAAATCATCCAGTGAATTTCGTGACAGAGAATGAGTCAATGCTCTCTAGTAACACCAAAAGCTCATCGGTAAAATATACAGCTAGTGCTAAAGACCCGTTGATAGATATAGAAAAAGAGTTTTATTTTCTTACTTCTGTCACACAGGAGCAACAGACATCAAAACCCAAGACATTGAATTTTATCCCGTCACAGAATACAATATTATACCCGTCGCCTGTAGATGAGAAAACTATAAGTGATTTACCCGAAGGAGGAGTTGACGGAGGCCTCGGGGTGTTGGTAACTCCCTCACCATCTAGTCCTAACACCAAAGCCTCTTCCCAGTCCTCCGTAACGCTCGGGGAGACGACCAACACTCAAGGTACAAGTTTCTTAGGTGTTGACGGCAGGGGCTCGGGTATATCTGACGAGGAGAGACAAAAGTTAGAGTCAGGTGAAAGAACAAGAGACGCTTCAAATACTCAGAGGAAGTTTAACGAGAGTTCTGATGTCTTCCAGTCTTTCATGGAGACGAATAACATGGCAGGGAGTGAATATTACTCCGCTGGGGAAACTTCTACCGAGGCTGTTGACGCCCTGGACTGGGAAGAAGCAGAGAGACAGAAGAACCAAGAGAAATCACAGAGAATTATTTACAAGCCTCCAGGAACGACACGAGAGGATGAATACTTCTTCACTAGTCCGGACAACGTGAGGAAGGGCTGGTTGAAAGCCTTTGAGGAACTTGAGAACAGTCTGGACGCTGTTATCCCGAACGATCACTGTGTTCTTCAGCCGAGAGGTCAACAGAATCTTGAACTAGACAACGTGAACCTTGAAACTCCTGGAGATGCACCGTCAGATAACAGTGAAGTGTCGCCAGAGGGAATTCAAGACTCATTCGATGCTTTTTTCAAGGACGACCATCCAGTTCTTCAGCCTACTACTATTCAGAAACTCATGTTAGACACCGTGAAGAGCAGTACTCCTGAAGGTGCTCCGTCAGGTAACGTCGATAAACCACCGGAAAGACGACGGCCTCTCAGTCGATGTGAATCCCCTCCTCCTACAGTAACCTGCTTGGCAAACCTTGAAAGACTTTGTAATCGCTTGAGTCTGGAACGCGAGAAAATATCAGGTGAGATTTGGGACACTGAAGGATCATCAACAACAGGAAAGGAAGACAATAAACCGATTTCTCAAGCAACAGAAAACAAACAGCAGCTCAAGGAAGACAAATCAGAGGCATTAAGAAATACTCCAAGCGTTGACGTTGATGAAGAACATGTCAGTGTATCTAGTCAACGAAAGACCCGGCCGATGATGGGGATACAACACCTTCAGCAGCACATGGTCAGGTCACAGAGACAATCCGATTTCGTGTTAAATGTTGAATCTCGTGATACACTTACTCGTGAAGCAGCTTACGAAGAAAACGGACACAATGCTACTACCAAAGAAAACGAAGATCTTGAGGGTATTATTGAAGGGGGGACTCTTGGTATATCACAGCTAAAGTACATTGACACGAAAGTAGATAAGATATTTAGCTGTGTTGATAGAGACGTTTCCCCAGATATTAATATTGGAGAGAATAGAGGCCATAGATCCCATTCACCCGTGATACAGGAATGTAACACCACCCAGGACGTCTCCCAGCAGTATCCTACACACCACGAGGATGTCAAGGAGCTTCAATCACAGCTTAATAACATCCTGAGTGGCCTAGATGTGATGTATGAGAAGTACTTGGAAAAACAGAGAGTGGAGGGAGTTGACCTTACACTGAACAGCATCATGGAGACACGTAACGAGACGACAAATATTACGGAAGAAAACACGACACGTTCTCATCCCCCAGAAGAAAACGAAACTCCACGAACTGTTTGTGAGAACGCAGCTTTTCAGGACATTATTGACATTTCAGAAGATCTAAAACATCTTTGTATCTTTCATGTAAATAAACCATCAGTGTCGGTGACCAGCCCTGACGACACCAGCACCTCTGACAATGAAGAATCTGAAGAGAACTTCCCAGATTTCTACGACAGTGACGGCGCGACACCTGAGGCTGAAATTAAGGTCATAGTGAGGAATAACAACAGCTCTGAATTCACTGACTCACCTGGATCACCTGACCAAGATCCTCAGACAGGTAATTCACTAAAGCTTCTTGAAAACGTGAGTCAGGACGGAGGAGATGACGATCCACCTGACGAAGGGGAATCAGATGTTGCACTCTTCTTGGAGGCCATCCATGAGGAGAACGTCAGGTGCTACGATGTGACGCTCAGGTGTCTGCTGAAGGTCATCTCTCTGACCCCCACACCTCTCCATGATCTTCTACAGGTGAGTATTTTACCTGTGTGGCGTCTTTCTATCTTTTACTCACCTCTGCTGTACTCTTGGCTTAATTCAATCTCTTCCATACGTCTAAAAAACAACCTATAATTTTCAAATATATATAATTACGTTTATATTTTCTTTCAATAATTCTACCTCCATCCCCTCACCATCATGTTTTGACTCTCACTCATTATAAACAGGATATATCTTAGAACTTCATCACAGACCACCACGAAATATAACGATTCATTTATGACATACAGTAATTACCTCCGTCAGATCAATCACATAACACTAACTACCCCCCCCCTCCTCCTTCCTCCACTCCCGCAGGCGTCGTCACAGAGCCAGGCAGGCCCCGTCCTCCCCCCTGACTGTAAGGTAAGTGATTACTTCCCTTTCCGGGTGTTAAACAATTTAGATGGTAAGAGTCAATGGCAGATCTAAGCTGACGATGATCATTCACTTCCTCGACCCTATAACAGTACAGAGGCTCGAGTCAGATACTGTAGGGCATGGAACTCCTGATGGTGTTTCGTCTTGTGTGATAATACTCTTGTTTCTCTCAGTTTGGTTGACGTTTGAGTTTATTGAGGGAAATGAATCAGATGTTGAAGTTGATTTCCTTATTTTTTGGTTGTGTTTTGTGCCAGTTCTGGATACGGTGGGAAGGTGTGTGTGTGTGTGTGTGTGTGTGTGTGAGTGTGTGTGTGTGTGTGTGTGTGTGTGTCTGTCCGTGTGAAATTACCTATCCAAAACACTACATTACCACGAACCAAACACACAATCAAACCAGAATAGTGAACTTCATGCTGTCATCTGAATCAACAACTCCCTCATGGTCAGAGATAACCATGGGACTGTGAACACTCCCCCTGAAGCCCCTCAGAGTGTGTGGACGCCCCTTCAGGCACACATAATTACACACACACACACGTATTAACAATGAGAATTACGCTCACAGCATTTCCACCACTCACAGCTAAATATACTTGTTTATTTTTTGTCTACGTACAGGGTGGTTCAGAATAAATGGGCTTCGTTTTTAATGGGTCCAGTACCTTAGCTAATGGTTAGGAGTAGGACCCATTACTACGAGGACCCATTAGGACTAGGGTTTCATCACGTATAGGGACCATTATAGTTTAAGTCTAATAGGATTTGGTTGCATTTGACCACTCACCTTCCACGCCCCCTTAGAAAGCAGGTAATTACGCGTAAGTGTATTAGCACTGAGAATACACCCCAGATTCCTCCGTTCACAGATAAATTGAAAATATTAATGTGTTTTGCTTTAGTATTATGCATCTACTTGACCGAATTCACACACACACACACACACATACACACACACACACACACACACACACACACACACACACACACACACACACACTATAATACTAATCAGATTTTTACACTTTCCCATGCAATCAGAAATTTTGCTAAGTCCTCCCTTTTACCACAGAAAACGGAACACATTTCACTCCTCAGAATAAACAACAAATGAATTATCACCACTAAGCATGTATTAACTGAGAATAATACATGCCAAGTTGACCGAATTCACAAGGAAAATTACAATATTCACATCTTTTGCGTTTCACTAGCGCTCTGAAATTTAGCTGAGTCAACCCTTTCATTAAACACAGAAAATGGGATAAATAACCAACACTTACACCAACATTAACTACTAGACCTAACTTAAACTAATCCAGTCTCTTAAACCACCAGGATATTGACAATAACAATAACAAATAAACAAAAATGAGTAAATTAAACAAGCAACAATATCAATATCTCAATTAACTCTTCCTTCATATTTCTCAATCATCAAAACCTGAGAAACAAATAATTAACCAAAGAAACAGGAAAATAACTATGTAATTAAGACATCAGTGATAATTATATTCAGGAGGGGGTGTGGTGAGGCAGTGTCGTCTCCTACAGACTTAGTGTTCGCTTCTCATTATTGCAGATTAAATTACAAAGACATTATTTTGTTATTTTATTCTTCAAGATACTTCTTTGATAGAGAATTGCCTTGTTATAATATCAGGAACTGGAGAAGATGTGAAAAAAAATCAGTAGTCAGCGTTGTATTGTTATGGGAACGTGACGTCATTATTTACCATTCTATTGACTTATATCCCATTTTGTAATATGGACAGTGTATTGAAATAATATTGATGGAAGTAATATTAGACAGTAATAAACCATTCTAATACCTCAGTTATTAATGGTAGAACGTATTTAAGTATTATGTTAATATAGAATATCTTCATTGAAACATTATGGCACTTTTAATAATTTATGTAAAGGCGTATTTACGCGTATTCACCACACAATGAAATATGAATTATCGTAATTTTTGGCCTATCTGCGGTTTTGCAATAATTCATAAAATCGTAAAGATATAGACATTTTCACTACTTAATTAAATAGTATAATATCTCATTTAATTATCTAGTGGGAGTGAGCAACATTGCAGCTTAATAATGTAGATAGTAGCTTGAGAAAAATGAATATCATCTTTCACTCAAGCACACCAGTGGACTCTCGATCGCCCTGACCGGGTTGAGTTGCCAATTGTAATTCTTCCTTCTTTTTATCAATAATATCTCTATTTTAACCTTTATTTCGTTGATATTTTATAATAAGATTTGTTTTAGTATTATTTTGATAATATGTGGGTGTTATTTAGTCAATAGGAGAGATTTTTGTACTGTTTACAGGATAATTTGTTAGTTTTTATGACGCGTAATGATTGGAACAGTTGCTTACCTCACTCTTCAATATTACTACACGTTAAGACTTCTCTAGTCGTATATATTATAACAAAGGCTATTTAACCAGTGTTATTTATAATATCTCTATGTTTATTTAAAATTTACAAGTATAGTTGCCGTGTATGTGGAGGGAGGGGAATCAACGTCTCTATGTGTATTTTAACCAATGCGTCGAGTGTTTGTGATAATTATAAATTGCCTTAATGGAAGTTAGGGAGAAAATTGCTTGTTCTAGTCGATACACATCATGACAGGCAGGTGTTTATTGGGGCGGCGCTTCTCTTGTTATCTTAAATTACGAGATGTATTTAATAATGTCTCCGTGTTTATTGTATTTATGGGAAGTTGTTCTTGTTAAGTGAGGATGATTGTTAGTGGGGAGGGAGGGGGGAAGGTTGGAAGAGTCAAGGGAAGTGAGGAACAAGTTGCAGTCACTCAGTGTGGCGAGGGAACTCGTCGGTGTAACACGTGTGCCATAGTGTCCTCACGCGGCTCACCACTCGCCAAGGGAGTGACACAATACACCAGTCATGTGCGTACAGGTTACAAATGCTGCTGAGAAAAAATGTTAGTAATATTAACTAACAAAGACATTTATCGTGCTACTGTGAAAATACGACTATCGAGTGAATAATAAACTGATAAACAAGAACTAGGATAAGAAAAAGACTTTGTTGTGTATAGATATTTGCCGTTTCTTAGATGTTTGTCGCTACTTTTAAGTGATTTTAAAAGATAATTAGTGATATAACTGCAATTAGCCCATGCCAACACCACCACCACCACCATGTCTGTTTATGTAGACGTGGAAGGGTGTATGGGCGTCGGGGACCTGGTGGGCGGCACCCTGTGTATACGTGTAGGGTCTCCCTGTCCCTCCGCCTCTACGGATGTGACCCTTGACACCCAACACACCGACACCACCCTCGACATAGCCACCCTCGAGTACAACAACATGTTCGAGGACGAGGAAGGAGAGGCAGTGGATTCCGAGGATGAGGTAAGGTTTTGAATCGTTCGAGTATCACTTGTGTTAACGCCAGTGAAGTGATAAGGGACAGAGACTATGTTGTAATGTTAATAGGTGTTATACTGGAGGGGATAAGGGTGACTAGTGGAGTATGTCAGCCCAGGAGAATTATTGAAAGCATCTCTTATGGTCGAGAGAACGAATCATTTATGGGTGGCAGTGTGTGTGTGTGTGTGTGTGTGTGTATTTATTCCGTGTCTTGATGCAAGTAATTAATAGTTGTTTTGTTTGGGTGTACAATTGTAGAAGAAAAGCGACGTTAATTCACATACAGTAGCGGCCCTTGATGACTAACCCGACTCTAGCAAAATCAGATGCAGTCGGTGTTGATGTTATAATGTATTTCGTTTTTGTTTTGTTTTATAACTTACGATCTTTAAACTATATATTCTTGGGTAGTTTATTTTGTAATTATGAGTAGAAGGTAAAACACCTCGATCCGCGGCTCCAGTTTTACTATAAGTCGCAAACTGACCTCACCATTAGGATTGGAACCTATAAACACCGGGTCCATTAGGATTGGAACCTATACACACTGGGTTCATTAGGATTAGAACCTATAAACACTAGGTCCATTAGGATTGGAACCTATAAACACCGGGTCCATTAGGGTTAAAACCTATAAAAACACTGTTCATTAGTATTGTGGCTGATGTAACCAATTACCGCACCAAATCCCCTTTACAGTAATTCAAACACCATTAAAAAATCCCAAAAAGAGATTTCAACCCCACCGTAGAGTGTAATCCAACCTTGTGCGTCGTTTCCACCCGATAACTGTCCCGCGGTGGCAGAACAACGCCTTTGAACCGCGAGTGAAGTTGGCCCAGTAAAGAGCTTGGATTAACTTTCGCACGTTATCATTTACGGGAAAGTTTTTTTTTTATTTTACGGTGTTAACGTTTGGGGAATCATATGTGTGTTTTGATTTCGTAAGATAATTTATTTTTCATATCTGATGTCGTTTAGGAATACATCTTTATTTATTTCGATGAAAATATAAGAATAACAACGATTAGCGACTCGTAAGTTTTTGTCTGGTATTAATTAAACATAGTTATGGTAGTTTGCTGGAGTCTCGGTGTAATTACTGTGTTATTTTTGGTGTTATTTTCGTGTTTTAAATTACACAGCACAGCACTCCTACAGCCTGCCATACCTCTGTCATTTCACACACTCCAGCATCGTCAGCCAGCAGCAGAAGTATATAATAAGCATTTTGAACCGTATTTTGCCAGGTTGTGTAAAGAAATTGTAAAATAATATACGTATTGTCTTTCCGTGTTATTTGGATCCGTGTTCGTTGACAATTGCCGGATGTGATTGCTAAGGAAATTGGAAGGTAAAAGAAATGGTTGGACTCTCTTTCTCCCTTTCTCTCTCTTTCTCCCTTTCTCTCTCACTTTGTAAACATTCTCACATATTCAGTTAACGTGGAGAAAATAATTAACGTAAGAACTGTGAGAATCTGCCCTTTTTTTTCGCATAATTTAAGAGACGTTAATATATGTTCACGCTTGAAGGAAGAGTCTTTGAGAATCACTCATCAGTGTCCCAACTTAAGCGAGACAAATGCAGACTCACTTTACTTAACGCACCCTTGAGACTCCATGTTTGTGTCGTAGTTAAGCGAGGTAGTTACATGAATGCTTGTTTATCTTAGTAAATCTTTGAGGATCGTACTTTAAATCGTAACTCCAGTGAGATAGATTTCACCTAACTTACGAACCTTCTCGAATCCATCTTGGTGTCGTAATTTAAAGCGAGACTAAGATGCGATTTCACTTAACTTACGAACCTTTTGCGAATTCACGTTTATTTCTCGAAGTCAAATGAGCTAGAGAGATGCAAGCGTCCTCACATCACCAGTTAAAGAGGAAAGTTAGCTGTTAGCCTACGAGTTCTTGAGACTTTGAGGGCCGCAGGAAGTATGGTCCACCGCGCGGGTATGTCAGGGAATGCTTGGAGGAGGAGCAGTCGGCATTTCCTCTTCCCGGGAGAACCTGTTACCAGCCACCGCCCGACGAAGGTTACATCGCCCGCCTTTGATGTCTGTAGGTGATGAATATAAAAAAAAAACTAAATTGTGGGGCTTGGGGGCAGGGGAAGTGGATAGGGCTGAACTAGGGTGTGGGCAGGGACTGATCTAGGGAGGAGGGGATGCAGGGGCTGAACTAGGGGGAGGGGGGAAGGTGGGCTGAGATCTAGAGGTAGGGAAGGGATAGTGGGGCTGAACTAGGGGGAGGGGAGGGGGATGGTGGGGCTGAACTAGAGGGGTGAGGGAGGAGGGGGGTGGTGGGGCTGAACTAGGGGGAGGGGGTGAGGGTTAGTGGGGCTGATCTTTTCGGTATGAGAAAAGTTAGGTAGAGAAAGAGGTAGACAGACACACAGGAAGACAGTCATGGGGTAACTTTGACTGTCTGTCTGTCTGTCTGGGAGGAAGGGTGAGGGCAGGCTGGTGCTCCTAGGG